CTCCCTCTATCTTCCTCTCTTTGTCTATTGCTAACTATCTATTTCTCTTTCTAGCTATTGCTCTCTCTCTATCTTCATCCATCTATTTCTCTCCCTCTGTCTCTTTCTCTCACTCCTGCCCTCCCTCCATCTTTTGCGCTCTCCCTCTATCTTCCTCTCTTTGTCTATCGCTAGCTATCTATTTATCTCTTTCCCCTCTACCCATCGTACGTACTGTATGAGTAATAAAATAACGAGGTAAACTGGGATGCTGTAGCTTTAATGAGAGTGGAACAATGCATTTTCTGTAATAGGCTAGAGTAAAAGGTGAACATTCTGTATCCACGGCACATCTTGTGCTGGACCACTGTGTGTGGTCTTTACTTTATGTATTGACTCTCTTAAATCAGCGGTCCCTGAACTTTTTTGTACCAAAGATCTGTCGGCCGGTATCAATTGTTATTGGATTCTTTTTGAATGAAGTAAATTTGTCCCACTGCGGCTGGGACCAAATAACCTATGGACCATCACCGGTCTCTGGACCGGGTGCTGGGAACCCTATATACTATAGACTGGTCATACCAAAAGTGTGAAAAAAATGTGGGCAACCGTGACGTACAGTATGTGGGTTTCATTTTGATAAAAAGGTGATTGACTGTTCACCTGAACTGTTGTGAAAGATTGGAGAGAGAATGCCCTCAGTAAAACTTTTGTTTGGATTGTTGTTGTTCCAGGAATAACGTTGTGAAGAAGAGGACAAACGTCTCCTAGAAACCAAGCCACGCCCACTCCTTAACTGCTTTGGATGTCTGTGGAAGTCTGTCGTCCTCTGATCAGCTGGTGGAGTGAAGACGTTGAAGGTATTCCCTTCTTGGTAAGCATACCTTTAATTCTGACTCCTACCTTTTTTCTCACCCTCTGTGTATCGCTCCATCAGCCATCTCCACATCTGTACTCTGTGTTTCTGCTCCCTTGTTCTTGTCCCTCTGGCTCAGCCTGCTAGTAATGCCTTTGAAGGTGTCATATCAAACACATCAGAAGAATAGATGATACAGGAGTTGTGCATCCACACGTTTTTAGGCAGTAACCTTCTTGCACCCTCGTACTTTCCCTCCAGTGTGTGTGTTCATCTTAGTCCTCACACTGAGCATCTCTCCTGGTTTGTACAACCTGGTTTGTTCATCTATCTATTTCTCTCTCTCTGCTTTATCTCTATGTATCTATCTCTCCCCTTTCTCCTCCTACCATTTAGGAATTTTAGGAATAGGAACATTTTGGATGCAGTACCAGTGTCAACCAGCAGACTCGGAATAGACTTACATTTATTTATGTATTTATTTTATTTTAGATGAGACATGTACAGTTAAAATACATTCTGTGATCGATAGACGTAAATATCAATGACACAAAGATGTTTACACGTTTACAATGAAGCTACTCGAGTGATGGTACAGTACAGTACCATCACTCGTACAGCATGTACTCGTACAGTACGTACTGTACGAGTGATAAAATAACGAGGTAAACTGGGATGCTGTAGCTTTAATGAGTGTGGAACAATGCATTTTCTGTAATAGGCTAGAGTAAAAGGTGAACATTCTGTATCCACGGCACATCTTGTGCCCCCACTGACTGCTGGACCACTGACCAGTATGTGGCCTTTATGTATTTATTCAAAACTCTTAAATCAGTGGTCCCTGAACTTTTTTGAACCAAAAGATCTGTCTATATATACTATAGACTGGTCATACCAAAAGTGTGAAAAAAATGTGGGCAACCGTGACGTACAGTATGTGGGTTTCATTTTGATAAAAAGGTGATTGACTGTTCACCTGAACTGTTGTGAAAGATTGGAGAGAGAATGCCCTCAGTAAAACTTTTGTTTGGATTGTTGTTGTTCCAGGAATAACGTTGTGAAGAAGAGGACAAACGTCTCCTAGAAACCAAGCCACGCCCACTCCTTAACTGCTTTGGATGTCTGTGGAAGTCTGTCGTCCTCTGATCAGCTGGTGGAGTGAAGACGTTGAAGGTATTCCCTTCTTGGTAAGCATACCTTTAATTCTGACTCCTACCTTTTTTCTCACCCTCTGTGTATCGCTCCATCAGCCATCTCCACATCTGTACTCTGTGTTTCTGCTCCCTTGTTCTTGTCCCTCTGGCTCAGCCTGCTAGTAATGCCTTTGAAGGTGTCATATCAAACACATCAGAAGAATAGATGATACAGGA